ACACACACACACACACACACACACACACACACACACACACACACACACACACACACACACACACACACTCACACACACACAGACCCGCTCGCTCGCTCGATTGCACGCAATTGTTTCACTCTGGTAATCCTCTCCCGCTGTTGCACGGTGCCTGCTTGCCTGTAAGTGCCCCGGAGATACATGCCTGTGAGCACCCTGCCGCCTGCACTGACCTGTGTGTTCGCCCTCTCCCTCGCTGCGGTCCCAACCCCACTCATGCGCGCCGAATATCTTACTCGGTGGATATGCCGAAAAATTATGTTTCCCCCCTTTTCTCTTTTTCTTTGATATGATTGTTCTCCTTCTCGCCGAATCCCATCCATCATGTCCCGGCGCTGTGGCCCTTCTCGCTGTGTGAACCCGTTTGCCCCGGGCGTCGGTTGATTGGTTTTCTTCTGGAAGATAACGGGCGTCGCTCCACTACTCACCACATGCACAAAAGACAAAAATTATGGCGGTGCATCTTTCCATGTTCTAGCGGAAGATTCATTCTCATTTTGCACATTTGTTGAGTAGTCGAGCGAGGCCCAATGACAGTGTCAATACAACACTGCATGGTAGGTATACTGTCGTCTCTCCGTCTGCCTGTCTGTCTGTCTCTGTTTCTCTGTCTTTACTTGCCTGCCCATCAACCTCTACCCACTGCTGTGTGATTTCATATATATGTATGTATATATATATTTTCCCTATCTTTCTTTCCCTGTCAGGTTTGGTTTCCTCCTCCCCTTCTTTACCTCTTTGCCTTTTGGCTGCGTGCAAGTGGGTCCTTGTGACACACGGGGATGGGGGCAGCCAGCGCTCAACCTGTCATCCACGTGGCTGGCCTTGTACGTAAGAGGTTATGAACAGGTGGAGCTTTCCTTACCTCCTTCCCCTTCCCCTTTTTTCCTTTTCCTTTTTTCTTTCCCCTTTTTTGCGCTCTGATTCACAATGTGGCAATATATATGTGACGATATATATGAACAGGGGGAGTTGTTGTAAGGAAGAAGATAAAAAAAGGAATTATTTTTTTCCCTTGTTTTCTTTGTGTTTGTTTTCGCTTTTGCGCTCTGATATTTTTGTGACAATATATATGTCTATATTATTATATTTACGTATCTCTATCGAGAGGAAGAAGAGGAAGCGGACAACAAAGGAGGGGGGCTGTGAACGACTGTCTGATCACCAGACTGAACCCTCTACAACAGTCTGAGGGTCTGCAGAAGTACCCTGTCCGATAATCCAGCTTAACCCCGCTCGTGGTTAAGCAATTAACGATATCAACGACTGCCCCACCGCTGATACCCTTGAAAGGGGGTGGGGACCACCAACCACTGTCCTCAACGGTACCTGTGACGAAAATCAAAGCAGTCTATCACTCACCCACACCAGACGGATGTGTATGTTCACAACTCCGCATGTATACATGCATGTGCCCTTAGAAAAAAAGGATGATGTATGGGACACAGTGGGACAATGGGACAATGGGACAGTGGGACAAAACTAAGGAAACGAAAAGGTAAACACATGAGATGAGGTGAGATGAGGGTGTTATGCTCACTTCCCTTGTGACACAAACTGAACTTTTTTCTCTGTTTGTTATTGCTTTCCTTTTCTTTTCTTTCCTTTCAGAAATGCGGTCTTAGTCAATAGATGTGTATGATTATGTATGTGACAATGAATGTAAGGCATTTATGTGTCCAGGTACAGGCAGGTAGTTCTTTGTATTCGCAGCAGGAACCGGCTTCAGCTGTACGTTGGCACTTTCCGAATAGGGAATGTTCGTCCCGCAGATTCGCGCGGGAAGCTAGATGACTGACGTACAAAACTGAGCGGACGGGGGGTGTGAAGGAGCCGGGCGAAGGGGGGAGAAAGGGAACGACCGGTAGTCCGGTAGGTGAGATTATAGAGGACCGGTCCAGAGTGGGCGGTCGTCGTCCGCGCAGGCACTCTTCCTTTTTCGCAAATTGACTCAATTTGGTGCGCATTGCAATTGGGTCTGTAAATGTGGGTCAGGCCCAGCTGAACCCAAAAAGACACAGTCGGATCGTGGCAGAACAGATAATTCGCTTGTCGCTTGTCGTCTGACGTCCGTGAAGTTTGCCACCGCTAAGTG